GGTTCTGTTATAATCGAATTTCAAAGTTACGTGTTTTGCTATAAAAATAAGGTTCCCTTTTCTATGATTTTGAGTGTTTTGTATAAAAAACATAAGGGCTTTTATCCCTTGTCAAAATAATAATCATTCTAAATGATGTGACAAAAATGTGTAAAAATGTAATCTCTATGTAAAGGACTAAATTAAGCTAAAGCCTAGTAATCACATCGACGAAAATCGCGAGCTAATCATAGAAGTGAGCGAGAGGCAATAATGCGGCTAGCGCTTTTCTTCGGGTCTGTTTTTCAGCGCTGTACTCAGATGAGCTAAGGAAATACCAGAAAAATACCAGATTTCGCGAGTGAATTTTCGATGAACCCCGTTAGCCGCGGCCCAAGGAATAAGAAATTTAATCTTTGACGGTGTTCGTGCAGAAGCGGTGGGGAATTCAAAAATTAACAAGGAAGAACGCTATAGTCGAGTACCTCGACTATCAGATACCCGTTACTCAGCTAAATAGAGATAAGCAAGCAGCAAAGGGAGATTAAAATGCACCACCTTCCAGCGGTAGACAGATTTAAGCGTTATGGGCGTGGCAAATTTATTTTTGGATTAATCGATAGGTATTGACGAAACCAATACATTGTGGGCGTCACAGACTTAGGCGGTTTGTGGGCGTTAAAGTGGGCGTGGCCAACTTTTTTAAAGTCAATCGATAGGTATTGATGAGAACAATACATTTCAGTTTTTTTTTTTTTATTCTAGCATTAAAACTGTAGGAGCCACTGTTTTGGGCGGAATGTGGGCGTTAGAGTGGGCGTGGCGTCTGCAGAAACAAACTTGCGCTGCGTAAGAAGCTCAGGAATCTGCACACCAAATCTCAATAGCCTAGCTCTTATAGTTTCCGAGATCTCAGCATTCATCCGGACAGACGAACAGACGGACATGGCTAGATCGACTCGGCTAGTGATCCTGATCAAGAATATATATACTTTATGGGGTCGGAAACGATTCCTTCTGCCTGTTACATACTTTCCGACGAATCTAGTATACCCTTTTACTCTACGAGTAACGGGTATAAAAATGGAAGAAAAACTCAAAAAACGGCTAAAGGAGGTCAGTGCGGATGAAAAAGGACGCTTAATCCAAGCTTTTGCCCCTTATTGTGGGACTTGACCGACAGGAAGCAATACCACAACGGGGAAAATCCGCAGAATTGTTGAAGTGCTGGATAAGATCCCCTAGAGAATCCCAGTGGGAAGGAAAATGGGACATCGCTCGATCTCTGACGAGCTCTCCATTGAGGACTGCACCTCCACCAGCTACGCGCCGGCTTCTTTAGGAAGGAGAAAATAAAGTCACCCGCTAAGGGACAGCTGGAGGAGCCATTACCAGCAATTATTAGACAGTCTATTGGGACTCGGAGCTGGACTACAGATGGCGCGGGAAAGATGGCGAAGCATCCGTGGGACGAGAAGGAAGCCTTAACTTATATTTTACATAAATAAAAAATTTCGTTTAACAATTAATTTATTTTTATTTTAATTTCTTTGTGCACCAGCAGACTCTTTTTTATTAAATTGCTCCAATTGATTTGTTTTCCGTTTGGCAACAAGCCCAGCTGCTTGACATTTTGAAATCCTTGAAAGCTGCGGTCACACTACAAAGATCACGATTTTTCGACTAGTAAAACTCTTAGCCCATCTGAGTACTGGGATTAAAGCCTAGTACTCAGATCGGCTAAGAGTTTCACTAGTCGAAAAATCGTATTCTTTGTAGTGTTACCGAAGTTTTCAAAGTTCACCCGCAATGCATGTAGCATGGTCTTACTGTCAAGCATTTGGGTTTGAAATTTAAATTTAAAAAGGAGGAGTCTTCTGGTACACAAAGAAATTAAAATAAAAACACATGGAATGTTCAACGAATGTTTTCATTTATGTAAACTAGTAGTTTAAATCTTCCTTTTCGTCCCACGGATGCTTCGCCGTCTTTCCCGCTCCACCGCAGTCCAGCTCCGAGTCTCAATAGGCACATTGGACCTTGAGGAAGTGGGAGCCGGATTGGGAACGGGGTTGATCCGCTGATGCTGCAGGAAGTCGCCCAGCATCCTGACAGTGGCTGGCTATGGATTCTCCAACTGTTCTTTAGCTCCTCCTCCTCCCTATAGAAGCCAGCGGGTCCTCCAGCTCCGCTTAAGCTGCCAAGTAGCTGGTGGTGGTGGTGTCCGGAGTCCTAATGGAGAGGTCGTCGGAGATCGTATTACTGGTGGTTCTGCTAAAAAGATACGTCTATTAGTACAACGCGACCAAATTCTTTTGGCCAGATCTTACTTTCTTTGCGAGGACGCGCCCGGCAGGTTGTGCATGTAGAGATCGAAGTCCCACTCGGCATGTTCCATCCCACTGGGATTCTCTAGTGGATCTCCTCCAGCACTTCAACTATTCTGCGAATTTGCCCCTTTTGAGGAATAGCTTCCTCCTATCCGTCCTATTTCATCTGCTCTGACCTTCTGGATTCGATTTTGGGGCTTTCCTTCCATTTTTAATTTTTAGTTTCCACACCGCCTTTGCACGAACACCGCCAAACCACCGCGGTTTTCGTCGATCTGAGTACCAGGCTTAAAGCATAAAAATAGTTTTTATACTCGATAACATTTTAACTGCAGCTCTAATGAATGATCCAAATGTTACTTTTGAAATACAATTTTGCTCATTGACTTATCGGTCCAAGTATTAATTTATCGAGTAATTTTTGAATACCAGAAAAAATACCAGAACTGCCTATTGGTTTTGTCAATTTTGCTCATTAAATGCTCGTTAGAGCTGGCATTTGTCTGTCTGGCTTGCACTTCGTAAATTATGAAAACAGTTGTTGTAATTAATGAGCCGAACAATGCCAATCCAAAAAAGATTTCAGAAACAAAATAAATAATTTTAAATGTTCAATAACTCCATGATGTGTACAGAAAATTAGTTTATGAGAACAAGAAAACATAAACCAACAAAATCGATAAAGAAGATTTTTTGACCACGGCTATATATATATTGTATTTGAAAAGATTTTTTTGAGATTTTGCGGTGCGCTTTAATGCAAAAGGTCAAAGAGAGAGCGGCCAAGAGTGCAAGAGCGAATACAACATAACACGAAATGGATTTGCCTTCGGATTTTGCTGATGTGATGACAATAGGGTTAGGGCCTTAAGTGTGAAGAGGAGGGGACCCTGTTTTAAATTTTATAAGTCTTATGTTTAAGGGTAAAAAATTTGACCAAGTATGGGAGTTTGTATTGATAAGGCAAACTAAATAAAAAACATTTTTCTTTTCTGCTACAGATGGGAGCAGAATGGAGTGCATGCTTGCAACTGTTGGCAGTTTGCCCACTAAAAAAATTATCTATGCATTTCAACCCAAATTGGTTGAATTTATCCTTTGGATATTAATTAACAAATTTTTCTAACATGTAAACTGTGGGCGCCACAGACTTTGCTGGTTTGTGGGCGTTAGGGTGGGCGTTGAAAACTTTTTATCTAACATGAAAATTGTGCGCGCCACAGGCTTGGGCGGCTTGTAGAGTGGACGTGGCATATTCGCGTAACAAACTTGCGCTGCGTACAAGGCTACGGAATGTAAATCTGAAATCCCAATTCTCTATCTTCGATAGTTTCCGAAATATCCGCGTTCAAATTTACGATTTTGCGAGTTTGTCAATAAGGTGCCACGCCCACTCTAACGCCCACAATCGTCCATAACGCTAACAAAAAAGTCTAGCACCCTCATTGTTGAATATTTTTGAAAAATTTAAATGAGATCTTGTTTTTATTATCAACTTAATTTATTTGGCTGCAAAGTGCACTTAATATGTTTAAATAAACCAAAAAGAAATGTGTAAATACGTGATGTACGGCTTTTTCTCAGACCGAACTCCATCAATAATAATATAAGTAACGATTATTTGCTAACAAGAAAAAAATGCCTCGAGGGGATCTGGGCAGGGGGAAAAGGGGTAATATTACAAAGAAGCAAAGGCTATTTGTGAAAAGGGCCAAACGCAATGGAGTAACGAGATAAAAGGGGAAAAGAGGCCAAATATACATTATTATGTAGTACAATTTAAGAATAAAATCTTTCCCACCCCTTATAAGAACAGTTTCTTAAAAGCGGACAAAGTGGCGGCGGGTAAGCTAGTATATGTGTACACTCAGGGAAAAACACCGTTCTATAGTCAAGTACAAACAGTCTTGATTAAAGATCGAGCTCTTGCTCGCACTGAAAAAGATCTTAAATCGAGCACATTTTGGATTCAAATATCTTTCGACTCTGAAAATTCGGAACTGTTTATTCTGAAAGTGCTCGGTATATAAGGCGCATAAAATACACAGTGTGGGCGTTACAGTGGGCGTGGCACACTGACAAAACAAACTTGCGCTGCGCAGGAATTTATAAAATTGCATTTTTGCCGCTTCTACAATTTCCGAGATCACAGCGTTCAGACGGCCATGGCTAGATCGACTCGGCTGGTGATCCTGATCAAGAATATATATACTTTTTGGGGTCGGAAACGCTTCCTTCTGCCTGTTACTTCTTTTCCGACGAATCCAATGTACCCTTTTACTTTACGAGTAACGGGTATAATTATAACGTCGTTGTTTTCTTGACATATTAACTTCTAACCTTAAGAATGTCATTATTTTAATATTGCAGAGTTTCGAATAAAACGGTAGTAAATTAAATAGGAACATTAATTACTAACATATGTATATATCTTTTTGTTTTTGGAGCCAATAACTAAATGAAAAACAAAACAAAAGGTGTCCCAACCTACAGAACTTTTCTTTATTCGTTGTCGATTTTTTATCACAATAAGCTGTACCCTTGGGGTAATCTTATAGGTTGTCCTTTCTATATGTCGATAGTGGCACACATAAATAAAATGCACAAGAGCCAGCTCACATTAACGCAATTGAATTTTACGTTTACATTAAAAAATCCAAACTTAAGGTATATTAATTTTTATTTTGACAGCTGCTTCATCGCTTTTAATATGGTGGCAAGGTAAATGCCAAAAAAAACGTATTCGCTGTAAAAGATTTACATAGTATTAACCATATATGTATATATTTAATCCCATAACGCTGAATTCTGTCCTTTCAATTTGTTTCTTACTAAAATATTTTTAATAATTTCATGCTTAATTAACTGAATGAAGTACGACCAAAAAGTAAGTCTTTTGTGCTATTAAACTTAACGTATCGCATATATCTATAATATATCTATAAACAAATAAACCCTGTATCTTTTGGATGTCGCATTTACACTTTTACAAAATCTTTTAAAATTAGGGTGCCGAGCAGATTTAAGAGTAGGGGCCCTTGTGGGCGTGGCAAACTTTTGTTAAGGTTAATCGAAGACTATTGACGAAGTAAATACATTTCAGCTAAAAACTCATTCATTCATTGCAGCATCAAAACTGTGGGCATTAGTGGTCGTGGCAAGAATCTCTAGAATATGAATGCTTTATCCCAACTTTTCAGCTTTTATATATCCCAAGAAAAAAGAAGAACATACGTGTATGGCTATATCGACTCGGCTACTGATTCTGATTAAAAATGAATATATATGTGGTCAGAAACGATTCCTCTTTTGCGACGAATTCCAAATACCTATTTACTCTATGAATAACGGTTATAAAAAGCTAATAATAAAAAGGAGCTCTCCAGAAAAAACCTTTATTGTCGTTGGCGATCGTTTTTCTTCTGGTCAGCTGCTTCATGTCGGGTATATAAATTAAAGAACAAGAGAAAACGCGATTGCCTTAAGTATCAAATACCTGTTAAAAGGATTGCGAGGGAGGTCGAGAAACGGCTGTTTCCGAGTTTGCTCACCACAGCAACACGCCACCTAGTGCTTTATTCATTACTTGCTTAGAATTTTTTATTTTTTATGAATTTCATTTATTTTTATTTTATGAATTGCCCAATTTGAACAATGAATGTAGATGGGTATTGATAATAAGAATAAAATCCCATTTACACTATATAAAATATAAAAAAATGTGGGCGCCAGACCGACAGATTTACCGTTCATGCAGGTGGGCCGTTCATTTACAAATCTAACGGATTTCCCAAAATTGTTTTCCCATTTTTGTTTTTTTCTGAATCTTTTTTTACGTGTACTATTTGGTAAATAGGTAAGCACGTGTATCAACACTTGTATGAAAAAAAATTTTTCTAGTTTGACTTTTTTAAAATTTAAAACCAATTAAAACTGTTTCTCTTACAGGCTTAAAAGTAAAATAAAAATGAAATGTATTTCTCTCGTCAATACCTATCGACTGACCCAAAAAATGGTTTCCACACCCACTCTTACGCCCACAAACATAAAAGAAATCGTCCGTATACACGCTTATATCTAGGAAACTAAAAACGCTAGAAAGTTTGGATCTATCATGTATATTTCAGATATTCCTGGTCAGGGCAAGTTGCACGCCCACCCTAACGCCTACAAGCGCCCACAGTACTTAGTAAATTAAAATTGATTTGATTGATCAATACCTGTATATAGATAGATATATCTAACCGCTGAGAATCTTACTATGTTAAACGTACTTTGGCATGGTCAGTGGTACCGATATCATCCGCTAGGTGACGGGGCGCTGGCATGGGTAATGTGTCTTAGCTTAAAATTTGTTCAACTACCGATTCCGGAGATATCTATCGCACACATAAACAAATTCAACAAATCTGGTTTCTGGCGAATATCTCCAAAACGATTCTTTAATATTTTTGAATGAGCTCAGCGACTTCAGGGGCTTAAAACTAAATAGAAAATGTGGCTCTCCACTTTTTTCCTTTCTGGCTGTAAATTAGTGTTATTTCAAATAACCTATTTGTGTTTTTTTGAAACACTCATTGTGTAAATTTGTTTAACTCCCCGATATTATATCCGATGTGTTTAGTGGATGACAATACTTTAAGCATTTTAATTAAACTAACTTTATTTACAAATGACTAAAATAATATCTAATTGCACTGTATTTCTTTCAAAATCTAGAGCAACTGGCATGGTGGCAGCTCTGGGAGAAGAACACACTTATCATATTAGTTGCTGCTATTATGGGATTATTACTGACCGTGATTATTATATGTTGCATAATTATATGCATTTGCCGTCGTCGTCGTCGCCAAGATAAATGTAAGTATGAATATATTGCCAGCAAAAAAAATACTTTTTTTTTTGTAAGTGCTACACTAAAAGCAACCATTTACATATATATCAATAATAGCGAACAACAAAAAAGGCTTGAATCATATGATAAGCATAACACATTAAGTTTGAACTAAAATATACATTTATTTTTTAACCTTTTTACTCTAGTAGTATCTTTAAATATACCTTCTATATTTCAATCAAGAATAAATTTAACATTTTTAAATACTGATGCATGACAATTTTTATTAAAGCATTTAAGTCTGCAATATAAACGAAAACAAAAAGTCGCCCAAGTCGAGAAAAAATTTTTAAGTTATAAGGAAGAGAAAAAATTTTTTAGTTATAATTGTTTATTTTCTTTTAGAAATCCATGAACAAATCCGGTTAGAATTTGCTGTGTGTAATAGAGTTAGACATAAATAAAATGGTTTTGTGGTGTACTTTCTTTGAACAAGTAATGAAAAATAATTGTTTACTTATTTGTATAGCAATGAAGGAGACATTTCCGACCCCATAAAGAGTATTTATTCTTGATCACCATGACTATAAGAGTTGACCTGGCCACGTCCGCTTGTCCACGCGCCTGTCTATCTGTCCGTTTTTACGCAAACTAGTCTCTCAGTTTCAAAACTTTGAAACTTTTCTCAAAGTTTTCTTTTTATTGAAGGTAGTTTATAAGTCGGAGGGAGCTGGATCGGATACCTTTACATCTTGATTGTTTTTGATCATATTCTCTTCTACTCTTTCAGAATAGTTTTTAAATCAGACGAGTATATCAAATCATCATATCTTACACTCAATAAAATAAACTCTTAATTTTGGAAAATTGAATCTAAAATTTTTTTTCCAAGTGCAAGACTTTTTTAATCAAGTCCAGGAATTTTTCCTTAAATCTAGAAAGTTTTTCTTTCCTTCTTTCTTTAAGCAAGAACGCAATCTACATCTACAAAATTAGACATGGACACAATTTGAGGTTTAAAACTCCTTACTACACACAAAAAATAGATTAGAAAAATTGACCAATATGTTAGTAAAACGGATTTTCCATTATGGGTAAAATGGAATCGAATTATCCATTATGGGTAAACTGGATAATTCGATTGTTACTCCTACGTAGTTCGTAAACGTAAGGGTTACTTTAAAAATTGTAACGTAACTATAAAGATGGGTAGAATGTACCCAACCCATGGATTGTACTCAAATAACAATTATCCAACCCATAAAATATAGTTTGTGAATTTTTAAAATTAAATACATACCTATAAAATTGATAAAATTTGTATAAGTCCATAAAGACATCCCTGTAACATGGTAATAAAATAAAAAAACAATTTTTAAAGTGACCCAGTAATTATAAACAACACATTGGAGAAAATTTGTAAAGTTATTCTTGCATACTTTTGTGTGAACGATTTACGTTAGGATAGCTTTTAAATTATTTTTTTACCATTGCAAGAACAAAATACAAACATTAAGTAAACGTAACCATGTTAATAGTGGCATTACTATTAAATAGTAAACAACAATTTTTAATTGTGAAGTACAATTTGTTATAGTTACTAAACTATCTGGAATGGTCAATTTAACCAACATTTATTTTAAGTGTGGACTTAATAGCTACTCATAATATAACTAAGAAAGCTTTTTACTTCCATGAATTTTTTTCTATATTTAAAAAAATGTATTCTCCTAAAATGTTGTAAATTTACTCTGTAATTTACAATAAATGTAACCCTTCAATTTATGGCAAGTCTTGAAGACAAAATTTGGCGATTCCTTTTTCTTAAAATTAATTATATTTTGAGTGTATTATCTTATACCCAGTTATTATACCCGTTACTCGTATGTTTGCACTGAATAGCAACACATAATATTAATTGCATTAAAATTCAAAGACATACATATATATATAGCGTAAAAACTCTGAAATTTAAAATAAATGTAACCCTATAATTTATGGCAAGCTTGTCTTAAAGAAAAAATTGGGCGATTACTTGTTTTTAAGATTAATTTTATTTTGAGTGTATTATCTTATACTCAGCTTATCATTATTATACCCGTCGGAAGGTATGTAACAAAGAAGAAAGCGTTTCCGACCCCGCAAAGAATATATATTCTTGATCAGGATCACTAGGAGAGTCGATCTAGCCAAGTCCGTCTGTCTGTCCGTTCGTATGAACGCAGAGATTTCGGAAACTTTACAAGCTACAATATTGGGACTTGGCATACATATTCATGGTCTTCCTGCGCAGCGCAAGCTTGTTTCAGCAGGGTGGCACACCCACTCTAACCCCCATAAACCGCCCAAAACTGTGGCTCCTACAATTTTGATGCTAGAATAAAATTTTTAACTGAAATTTATTGTTCTTATCAACACTTATCGGTTAACCCAAAAAAAAAATTTGCCACGCCAACTTTAAAGCCCACAAGCCGCCCACAAGCTTAAAAAGATCGCAAGTATGAACGCGGATATCTCGGAAACTACCAAAAATAGAAAATTGGGATTTCAGAACTAGATTCCGTAGCCTTGAACACAGCGGATGTTAGTTACGCGACTATTATTACGAAACCGCCTAAGCCTGTGGCGGCCACAATTTTCATGCTAGATACAAAATTTTAACTGAAATGTATTAGCCTCGTCAATACCTATCCATTGATCCAAAAAAAGTTTGCCACGCCCACTCTAACGCCCATAACGCTTAAATCATTTCAGCATTTCAATCTCGCTTTGCTGATTGCGTATCTCCATTTCCCTTTGGTCCCATAAGCTGAGTAACGGGTATCGGATAGTCGAGTTACTCGACTATAGCGTTCTTTCTTGTTTTTGAAAGAAACCGCTAATTTTTTCAATTTTAAACTTAAATAAATGAATACAATGGTTTGGGTGGAGTTTCTAATGTCGGCAATCTCACTTTGCCATTAGCAGAACACAAGCCGGGGGTTTCACATGGAAAGTTAGCCGCATCACAATGTGGACATATCGCTTTCGTCATTCCAATGTGCGCGTTCGTACTAAAATCAATCTGACAGTTGTAATTAAAAGCAGCAGCCAACAATTCAAAATGCCACATCGACTGGTTCGTGGCATTGTTCCTTATAAAGACTTTAAGCGATATGAAATACCGACGACTCGCTAAACAACAGAGAAATATAACAAATACTTGTAAACAAAACCTACACATGTTGCTTTAAATAGAAGAGCCCGTTCTTTAGTTATAAAATTACAAAAAAGTGGCATTGATTTTAATCTATATAGAGAAATTAATAGGGTCGGAAACATTTCATACTATACAGCCATGAGATTCGTCAACTTTGGACAACATTGAATTTTGTATGTGGGTCATGGAATCATTCAAATAGCTATCAACAGTTACATATAAGAAACTAAAACTATACGGCTTTTGAAAAATTATAGAATGTATTACTTTACGAGTAACTGGTATAAAAACAACGGGGATGTGGAAAGTTATGGATTGGGTGGCTTTTCGTTTAAGAATACCGGATAGAAAGCTCAAATAATATATTTAATATATTATATAATACATTTTAACTATTACTAACATATATAACATGTTTGCTTGAATTCTTAATTTATCTATTACATACGTACGCTTTGCTTCACAATGCCTGGCCGACATCATTGCACGCTGTATTAAACTAATAAATCGCATGAAACGGTTACTACTCTGTGCTGCAACAACAATTCCACGATCATCCCACATACACACAACTACACCTACATGTACAGATCTTACGGAAGTTTCTATAGGTTCTAAAAGGTAAGTCCAAAGAAAATTTATTGTATTTCAGCCAATGGCTTTTGTAAATGTATTTATGTATGAAGATCATGCAATGGTAAACAAATCAATATTAGGTTTAAAAAAAAACTTAAATTTTTTAGCACACACATTCGGAAAATATATTTAAAAACTGATGTTTTCTTTAAATTTCAATTATTTTTTATATTTATATTGTGAAAATCACAATCATGAATTTATTACCCAAAATGTCTAAATCTTAAATTTGGTTAAAGACGCCAGGTTTTTCGGCATATGACATTTCGACTCTACGGAATACTCCTGTTTTTACATTCACAAAAGTTTTCGTAATACTTTTAAAAACGCAAAAATATACTCCTTCAATTTACGCAAAACGATCATTTTTTTTTTTAATTTTTAAAACTACAAATTTATTTACGTTTAGACCGTTTTTTTTTTTTGACCTAACGTCAGTTCCTATTTGCCTTATTCATTGGTACATTAACATTAATTTTCACCATCACAAGGCCAATTAAGGGCGTATTTAATTTGTAAAAAAGTAGTTTATCAAACCACCTAAAATTGTATACCCAAATATTTGCCTAAACTAACATTTATTTTTTTAACAAAGCTGTTAAAAACGGGAACTAAAACCGGTGCACTGCAAAAGGAAAATTAAATATTTTTTGAAAACTCAAAAGTGAAGTAAAAACCAGAGCATTCTCGTGTATAATTGCTAAGTATTGGCATAAAGATAAATTGTGTTCACGCTGTCAATTTTTGTAAATTACCTTTGCATGAACCCGTATGTATTTTCATTTGTAATGTTTTACTAAATACCTATTTATACCGCATAACCCGTAAAACTGCACTTTTTTTGTTTATCCCACACACCACATTTCAGTGTATTGTCTGATCAGGCAGAAATTACACAATCGGGTGGGAGCCTACAAAAACAAGATAAATATGCAGCTATTTTAAGAAATCCGTCTCCCACGCGCTTCAATGCAAACCCGCCTAAATCGCCACCGCGTTGGCCAATTCGTCCTGGAGTGATGCTTCACGTAAACAGCAACACAAAAGAAAATCTGGCTGTGAACCGAATGACATTAAACAGGAATCTGTGTAATAGTGGTGGCCACATGAGCGAGCTATCGGCACAATTAAGTGCTGTCTTAAGAGAAAGCCACGCTAGATCCGATAGTACCATCCTCACCGACGAGTCTGTCGTTTTCGAGAAAAACGCAGCATCACAGTTATCTACAGTTGAAACAGCTCAATTAAAGATTGTAAAAGAGAACAAGTCTGGAGCAGAACTAGAACCATTGGATGTCTTGCCTGCCACAACATCATGTTCTGGACAAAACAAATTGGGTCATATTTTATCACTGCTTTTTAAAAAGAATGCGAATGATTGCACTCGAGATAGTCAGCGGAGTCATGTTGGTTTATTACAGACCTTTTGGCGTGGGCTGGCTTCTAATGAAAGCACCCCGCAGTTTGGAACTCAGCATCGTCTTAAAGGAATTCGTTGCAGTGGAAGTGGTAGAGTATTTTTGTGAATTTTAGTTGCACCATAACATTTATTTTTATTCCTCTTTATTTGTTGCTGTATGATTTGCATCAATCAACCAATACTTATCAAATAGTGACCTACAAAAAGGCCAAAGAGACGATCCACGGCAGGACAAACGCAACAATTGGAGAACCTTCTTTAACTAACAAGCCCAGTATTTGCCAATCACATACCTCATTGACACATCAAGTGCCTTCATTAGACAAGGACGCAGCTAAAATAGTTACGGAAGACACAAATTTTTCCAAGAAAATAGAAGACTATACGTGCAATGTCGCCCCCTGTAGAACGGAAGTAAGCTCTTTGGAGCCTCGTCAAAGGCGGTGCAACATGGCACCTCCCAGACCCTCAACTCCTACATTACAATTAAGGAATTTGCACAATGCAATCAACTGCAGCTGTTCCCCCGATTCAACGTTGGCCCAATCCAATAAACTTGAACATGTTAAAAGTAAGAATATTTGTAGAATTGTGTTGACCGTAACAAAGATAGGTTTTTCCAAAAAAATCATTTTTTTTATTATTATTTTTCCAGTTTAATTTATATATCAAAAAAAAGGATATTTTTTGAGTTTTTTATAAAATCAAAAAATTATTGATGTCATGTTGACTTTTATTTTCTGATACAGAAATAATAACTATTCTATAAGTTGTATTTTCCGACTGGCAAATAACGCTTACTTACTTACTAATCATTTTCTGATTGAAAAATAAAACTTTATCCTAGAGTTTTATTTTTTTGTTGAAAATAAAGCTCGTGTTTGCGTCTAACCGAAGTAGACACTTCTGGGTTACGCCGCAGGGCAGGGGGTTAGTAAGCGTCTGTCGCAGACACGAGGGTTACTGCGATTCCGGACCACTGTCGATAACGTAGCTAACGTAGATTAGATCAACCTTATCGCAGTACCCATATCGCCTGTGGTACGGCATCGCAGTAACCCTCGTTACCACTGTCGCGACGAGATCGTCCTGCCAACATAGCTTCCCCGTGCTTGAGACGAGCGCTTACTAAGCCCTTGTCCTGCGGAGTGACCCAGAAGTGTCTACAATTTGTTCAATTTAAGAGCGATGGCTGTGAAAATTATACAAACCTAAAATTAGTATTAGTATTTGCCGTGGTCGACTTAGTATATTTGTCACAGCCTCGACTATCAGATAACCGTTGCTCAGCTAAAGGGACCAAAGGGAAATGGAGATACGCAAGCAGCAAAGCAAGAATAAAATGCGCCACCTACTCGTGATCTCAATATATGGTAATGTGGGCGGTAGACAGATTTAAGCGTTATGGGCTTTAGAGTGGGCGTGGCGAATTTTTTTTTAATCAATCGATAGGTACTGCTGAGACCAATACATTTCAGTTAAACTCTTTTATCTAGCATGAAAATTGTGGGCGCCACAGGCTTGGTCGGTTTGTTTGCGTTAGAGTGGGCGTGGCAATCTTTTTTTGGATCAATCGATAGGTATTGACGAGACTAATACACTTCAGTTAAAATTTTATATCTAGCATAAAAATTGTGGGCGCCAGAGGCATGGGCGGTTTGTGGGCGTTAGAGTGGGCGTGGCGTATTCGCGTAACAAACTTGCGCTGCGTACAAGGCTACGGAATCTAAATCTGAAATCCCAATTCTCTATCTTTGATGGTTTTCGAGATATCTACGTTCATATTTACGATTTTTTGAGGTTTGTGGGCGTTAAAGTGGGCGTGGCATACTTTTTTTGGGTCAATCGATAGGTATTGACGAGACTAATAAATTTCAGTTAACATTTTTTTTAGCATGAAAATTGTGGGCGCTACAGGCTTAGGCGGTTTGTGGGCGTTAGAGTGGGCAGGGCAATATTTTTTTTTGATCAATAGGTATGGACGAGACCAATACATTTCAGTTGAAATTGTTTATCTAGCATGAAAATTGTGGGCGTAACAGGTTTGCGTAACAAATGTGCGCTGAGTACAAGGCTACGAAATCTAAATCTGAGATCCCAGTTCTCTATCCTTGATCAAGCAAAACACCTCTTAACGAGGTAAAAAGTAGTGGCGAACGCGCTTTTAACAAAAATTTCTATTCTATTACATTCGATAAAATAAATAAACTATATTACATTTATGATATATATATATATGACATATATGATATACATCAGTTTCTGTAGCATTAGTTGTTTAGATACTATAAGCATTTTAAATCAGGCTTTTTTTTGGATTTTCCGCTAAACTAGCGGGTTTTTCCAAAAGTCGTAAAACAAACGTTTTCTAATTCAAGCTACTTTATACACCCATAGGGTTTTCAAAACCCTAAAACTAAGATGGGATGCATACAAACCCACAAACAAAGAGACAAACATTTTCATTTTGGGAAGAAGTAGAAAATCTTGTTTTTATACCCTTGCAGAGGGTATATTGATTTCAGTCAGAAGTTTGCAACGCAGTGAAGGAGACGTTTCCGACCCCATAAAGTATATATATTCTTGATCAGCATGACTAGACGAGTCGATCTAGCCATGTCCGTCTGTCCGTCCGTTTCTATGCAAACTAGTCTCTCAGTTTTAAAGCTATCGGCCTGAAACTTTCCCGAAAGTCTTATATCTTTTGCAGGTAGTATATAAGTCGGAACCAGCCGGATCGGACAACTATATCTTATAGCTCCCATAGGAATAATAGGAAAAACAAATTTAAAAAAGTTATATCTTTGGTGTTTTTTAGCATATAACCTCCTAAGCTTGGAAATACCATTTTTTAATTCGTTTTGAATTTCGAATTTAATTTTATCAAAATCGGAAGACTATATCATATAGCTGCCATAGGAACGGTCGTAAAATTGGTGGAAAAATAATATGAAAAAAAATTGTAGCTTCGGTGTTTTTCAACATATAACCTCCAACGCTTGGAAATAACATTTTTTAATTAGTTCTGAATTTCTAATTTTATTTTATCAAAATCGGACGACTATATCATATAGCTGCCATAGGAACGATCGGAAAATTGGTGGGAAAATAATATGAAAAAATTATAGCTTCGGTGTTTTTTAACATATAACCTAGCTTGGAATAGCATTTTTAATTAGTTTTTTGAATTATTTTATAAAATGAATATATATATAGCTGCTAGGGATCAAATTGGTGGGAAATAATATGAACTTATCTTCGGTTTTTTGAATTATTTATACGGGAATAATTGTATTTAATAAATAGTACAAGGGTATAAGCTTCGGCTGCCGAAGCTAATTCCTCTGTTGAATTACTTTGAACGGACATCGGATTTCAACAATGAGGTGTCATTCGACGCGTATTCTCAGTAATAGCAGCTCCAATTTTCTAAATTTTTACTTTTACACTTTCACCGCTTTTTCTCCCAAACAAATATATATTTTGAAAGTCTTGGTTTGCAATCTTCTTAGTTAGTGCGATACCTTTCGATTGGTGTATCACTCAGATTTTCAATTCTGCGGCTATATATAATAGTTGTCTTCGCACGCTCTCTTGCGCGCTTCGCCACTACGTGTACTGCCGTCCACAGTGATAGTTTCCGAGATATCCACGCTTATACTTAAGATTTTTTGAAGTTTGTGGGCGGTTTGTGGGCGTTAAAGTGAGCGTGGCAAACTTTACAGGTATTGATGAGAACAATATATTTCAGTTAAAATATTTATTCTAGCATCAAAACTGTAGGATCCACAGTTTTGGGCGGCTTGTGGGCGTTAGAGTGGGCGTGGCTCTTGCGCTGCGTAAGAAGCTCAGAAATATGCACGCCAAATCTCAATAGCCTAGCTCTTATAGTTTCCGAGCTCTCAGCGTTCATCCGGACGGACAGACAGACGGACATGGCTAGATCGACTCGACTAGTGATCCTGATCAAGAATATATATAATATATAGAATTCCTCTACGAGTAACGGGTATAAAAACATAAAAGATATAATTTTTAAAAATGTTTTTCCGACTATTCCTATGAGAGCTATAAGGTATAGTTGTCCGATCCGGCGTGTTCCTTTTTATATACTACCTGCAAAAGAAAGAAGACTCTTGGGAAAGTTTCAGCCCGATAGCTTTAAAACTGAGAGGCTAGTTTGCGTAGAAACGGACGGACAGACGGACATGGCTAGTCGACGTGTCTAGTAATGCTGATCAAGAATATATATACTTTATGGAGTCGGAAACGTCTTCTTCACTGCGTTGCAAACTTCTGACTAAAATCATTATACCCTCTGCAAGGGTATAAAAATCACAGAGTAAGCCCTTTTTTAAATTTTTTGGTATACATGTGAGAGAAAGACTTGTTTTAAATTTTTATAATAAAAGTTGAAAAACAAGGAAGAACGCTGTAGTCGAGTATCTCGACTATCAGATACCCGTTACTCAGCTAAAGGGACCAATGGGAAATGGAGATATGCAAGCAGCAATGCGAGATTAAAATGCGCCACCTACCGGCGGTAGGCAGATTTAAGCGGTATGGGCGTTAGAGAGGGCGTGGCAAATTTTTGTTGTTAATCGGTATTCTCCATAATTAGTTTTTTTTTAATGAATTGTCGTAAACTTCCGTCGGGTTATAACTGCAATGTGACAATATCCTCGTAAGGCTAATTAACTGTATCCATTTTATCTTGTAGTCAAGTATAGTTTTTTTTTTTTTTTTTTTTTCCGTACGGTTAAAAGTATTGTTAATAAAAAATTTTACGGTACGTGTGTCTACTTTAACAAAAATATTTTTTTGAGCATTCCTAAAAATACTATATGTTCATCCGTCTCAGATAAAATAACTTTTTTTTTTTTTTTTTTTTTTTTTTTTTTTTTTTTTTTTTTCGATCCTCTACAATAAAAATAAGACTGTTGGGAAGGTTTCATCTAAATAGCTTCAAAACTGAGGAAACGTCTTGCGTAGAAATGGACAGACGGACAGAAGGACATGACTTGCTCGACTCGTCTAGTGATGCTGATCAAGAATATATATACTTTATGGGGTCGGAAACGTCTCCTTAACTGCGTTGCAAACTTCTGACTGAAATCATTTTACCCACTGCAAGGCTATAAATATAGAACTATAACAAGGAAGAACGCTATAGTCGAGTACCTCGACTATCAGATACCCGTTACTCAGCTAAATAAAGATATGCAAGTAGCAAAGCGAGATTAAAATGCGCCACCTACCGGCGGTTTACAGATTTAAGCGTTATGGGCGTTAGAGTGGGCGTGGCAAATTTTTTTTTGTACCATCGATAGGTTTTGTCGAGATCAATACATTTCAGCTAAAATTTTTTATCTAGCATAAAAATTGTGGGCGTCACAGGTTTTCGCGGTTTGTGGGCGTTAGAGTGGGCGTGGCATATTCGCGTAACAAACTTGCGCTGCGTATAAGGCTACGGAATCTAAATCTGAAATCCCAATTCTCTATCTTCGATAGTTTCCGAGATATCCACGTTCATATTTACGATTTTTTGAAGTTTGTGGGCGGTTTCTGGGCGTGGCACACTTTTTTTGGGTCAATCGATAGGTATTGATGAGAACAATACATTTTAGTTAAAATTTTTATTCTAGCATCAAAACTGCAGGAGCCACAGTTTTGGGCGGTTTGTGGGCGTTAGAGTGGGCGTGGCACTCTACTGAAACAAACTTGCGCTGCGTAAGAAGCTCAAGAATCTGCACGCCAAATCTCAATAGCCTAGCTCCCATAGTTTCCGAGATCTCAGCGTTCATCCGGACAGACAGACGGACAGACGGACAGACGGACAGACGGACATGGCTAGATCGACTCGGCTAGTGATCCTGATCAAGAATATATATACTTTATTGGGTCGGAAACGCTTCCTTCTGCCTGTTACATACTTTCCGACGAATCTAGTATACCCTTTTACTCTACGAGTAACGGGTATAAATATAACATTTGAAAGTTAATTTTTTTATTTAATTCAAATACTCCATAAAAATTGTTTGCGTTTTACCTTAAATCAGATGTCTGGCATAACAGACTCTGTAAGGATTTCTTGTTTGTAAAATAGGCTAAATGTCGGTTTTCGAGCTTAACATTTCGAAACGTTTCCTAGGTTTAAAATCTACTTTTAGTTAAGGTCAGAAAAAAATATAAATCTATGTTAGGGAGACTTAAAAGGCCAGTTACGTCATGCCGGTTGAATTGCACCTGGCTACAACTAGATTCATTTATGTTATGAAATTATCAAACTGGTGGAATCGAGCAATTCGACTATTTCGTTTCGTTTTGTTTCATATTTAAGAACAATTGGAAAAATAAGAAGCGAAAAAACATAAGATTGGGAAAAGGGCCTAACAATAAGTCAATCGTAAGTATTTACCTATAAAAATCATTACATTCAATAAATCTGTCAATTATTTGATCTAATATATTTTACTTATTTTTGTTGTTGCTAGCATGTACTGCTTTGATTGTACATCAATTTGTGTCTAAAAACAAGAATAACAATTGACTTTGAAAATTTGGAGTAAATATACATTTTAAAATTATGTTGTACATATTTTAAATATTTTTATTAATACATTTTATTCTAATTATTTGGTTTATTTTTTCTCTCGTTTGCTTCCAATATAAAATCAAAAAAATACTGGAAAAATTGTTTAAAACCAACCAATCCGTACCGAATTGCCTTATAGTACACGGCAAGTCGTCTTCACTGGGGGAACCATTGACGGAACCTGGCGAGTATGAGAATCTTCCATTTCATGGTCTGCAAACGGCACCTAATAAGGTATAATTAAAATATTTATGATCTACCTAACATTGCATGAAAATGTACTCGTTCATTAGATTTACATAAAAACACAACTACATATATATTTAAAAAAAACTATACACGTTACTTGTACATTTTAAAAGCTTGTAGCTGGTTGAAACTAACCAAGTCAACAACGTAGCCAGGGCTATTCCAAATTTTTTAAATAGTACTTTTATATAAATTAAGTTCTTACGAATTCGGGCAATGTAGTACTAATTTTTCTTTAAGGACTAACCCGCCTCCCTTGAGTCATGTCCGTCTGTCTTTCGTCTGTAAAAACGTAGGTCAATATCAATCGAACCAAAAAAAATGTTCAAGTCAAGTCATTATTGCAGATGTTATTAGAAAATTATCATAAAAGTCATTGCTACCATGACCAATGTCTAAATCTACATTTGAATGCATTTTTATTTTAAAATTGGTTACACAGTAACGGGTATTTTACAGTCGAAGTACTCGACTATGGAGTTGGTTTTTGTTTTGTTATGTATTAATTTTTAAATTGCATTGAGATTATTTTATTCAAAAAAACAATTTCATATTATACACATATTAGATATATTTTCTAAAATATTTTATGTTTTAAATCGAATTCTAAAAAGCGTTCATTGCCATAAAAATATAGCAATCCACTTCATACTTATCTTTGATTACACACTTGCATATTTACGTTAGTTCCTTGACACTTTTTAATATTTTAATACAACAAAATTATAAGTGCTGTCGCCAACGAATTGTTTTAAAAGTTTTTTTATAAGGAAAAAAAAAATGAATTATAGTTTGTACATTTTTGTATAAGAATTATACGTATAAATAATATTTTAAAGACTGCCTTAGTTTTAACAATATACATTTTTAGGCTAAGACCACAACGAATAGCTTTACTCAACGTGTCTATGCATTATTTAGATCTTTATTGTTGTTCGCTAGCAAACATTTTAAAATTGACAACAAAATGCAGAAATTTTATAACCCTTTATTTTTTTTTTACATTTATTTTGACTAACATCACCATATTACCGACAAGCTAACAATCACACTAATATCGATTTATCTACTTTGTTTCATCGTGTGCTCTTCCTAACTAACAAATGTTGCTTACGCAATGGATTCATATCCCAGTGCTCTACTACCCCTATAAATTTTAAAAGCAACTCAAATACGGTGCATGGTCCTCAGCGAATCAAGGGACTTAATGGAAATACCAATCAAGATCGTCAGACTACTCAACATCCGCATGTATACCAGGAACAAACTTTTTGCGAGCAAGAACTACAGTATGCTCACAGATCACAATACAATACCGTACACCACAAATCACCAACTGATCGACACAATAAATGCGTAACTGAACTAGACTCCAATCGTCAAGCTATACATAACCTAAGCAAATGCTTCCCCAAGAGTTACACTGAGTATTACCATCAAAATCAGCAACATCATCAAATCCAATTTCCAACAGCAAAGGATCAGAAGATAAACACAAATTCCTTGTATAACGTTCAGCTAACCAATGCCATAGATCATGATTATCTGCCCAGTTACACTGCAATGAGCCGACCACTACCTATTCCGACACTGGTAAACACTAACCCTTTTCTGGCCGCTACCAACTTTAAGAAATACGTTAAAGAGGGAGAAGACCTCTCTGGAAGTATGCCACGTGAAAAACACAGAAAAAACGCTCTGGACTTGGAGAAAAGGTTTAATTCGCTAAAGTTCCCAGGCGGAAACAAACTAAAAAATCGTTCTTATAATGAAAGCTTCTCATCAGGTTCTATCACATCACCTATACAGTCCGCTATTGACGTTTGCATTTTATCAACATGCAAGAGGCATAATTCCTTAGGTCGCCAAAGCAAAAGCGATATTGACCCGAGTGTGCAGCCCATGCCCCCCTGCGATCTTCCTGCTGACGAGAATATGGTCGTTGAAGACACAGTCGATCAAAGTACAGAATCAATAAAAATAGGAAGCAACGATTTAATTCTCCATTCTCATCAAACCTTGGCCACTGTTCAGCTGCACACTCAACTAGGCAAAGAAATAATAAAGAAGCACCACCACCGCCATCACCACCACCAGCAAATAAAGAAGGAAGAGATTGCTGACTTGGAGTTAATGGAGGCTGAGCGCAACAGCATTTATCGGAGTGACTCCGGAATATCTAATAGCTCCTACGAGTCCCAATTCCCCATAGCCTTATCACAAATTCGACCATCAAAACCAAAAAAAGGATCTGTTAACCATTTAATTCAAAAACGTGTTCATAAAAATGTGGAAGCTCAGAAAAGTGTATTGATTCACAATGATTCGCCTAACGTATTATTATCCGAAAATAATTTTTCTGAATGCGGTGTACCATTAGTTAATAATTCAACATCGCTTTCGCCCTGTAAAAAGCATGCTGCCTCTTCGCAATGCAACCATCACCAGCCACCATCAATTCAGTACAATGACAGGACTACAACAGAAGCCCTTGTGCAGCACCCACTTGGTCACCAGTGCGTGAATTCGGTATCTACGCCAACAGTTTCCCTCAGTTCAAACACTTCCAGCGTTCAAAGACCAAATAAGGTTCGTATTTATTAAATCGGAAATATGAATGGAGTTTAAAAGTATGATTTTATTACACAGTAATAGTTTTGACCCCAACTTACTCCCAGGCTAGGATCATTTTGTTATTATTTCTTTTAGTTTTGACTGTAACAAAAATATAGTTGCAACGCTCAGGCAGACGTTTGAGGATAACGAAGGTGTATGTGAAAGCGCAGCGTTATTTAGTTATAATAAGTTATTGAGCTGTGGACGGCAGTCCACGCTTAGAGGAAGCTCACAAGGAGAGTGCGAAGGATACTAACTACTATATGGGGCATTCTCTGGAAAACACAAAACTGAAGTTCGGTGCCATGTTTTTCGTAATTTTTTACGTAAATAAATATACAAATAAAGTGTTGTTCGAGGGTTTTCACAGGTAGGGTAAAATCTTAAAAAATCTAGTCAACCTATTTTTATGCAGGACAGAGCTTTTTTTGTGAAGAATATTTCAATTTTGTTTAGAAAAAATACAACAAGTTTGTAAGCTCAATATTTCATCAATAAAACATAAAAAAGCATTTGTCAATTATTATAAAATTGGCTACTTTTATTTTTTTTGGAATAAATATTAAAGTTATCACTATTTTATTTGAAGTTAAGCCCGCTTTCTTTATTTGTTTTTTAATTCATAACTCGTATACACATAATATGTTTGTACCAAAATTTCCTTACAGGGTAGTTAGTAAATAAAGTTAAGATCATTTAAAGACTTTTTCAAAAAGATTCAGAGTGAACATACTGTTAAAGATTGAAAAACATTTTTTAATTAATTTTTTCCAAGTGAGTGTGTTGCGTTAAAATGGGTCTAGCGTCTCAGCGACTTTTGAAGGAAAAACTTTCACTCATTATAGGGTAGGAACCCTAAATGCGACAACCCTCAAACCACACTTTTTGTGTTTGTTTTGACGTACACAGTTACGTAGACAATTACAAAACCATAGAATGATACACGAATCCAAAGAATTGCAAAAACAAAAATGATTGTATATCAAGACATTAGGGAAATAAATATTTTTGAGAGAGAGAGATCATAGGTGTACTGGAGATGCTTCGTTTAAAAGTTTTTCCAAAAACAAGATTTCAGAGGACTTTCCAAAAGAAAAAGGAAAGGAAGCTAACTTCGGCAAGCCGAAGTTTCTATACCCTTGCATGTGATTCCCGTGGGAGCGTTGTATGCTCAGAGCTTTCCGATTTTTAGACAGCTAACAACTAATTACAGAAACATTAAAATAGTGTTCCATTTTAATATACTAGCGTATATGTTTACCGAAAACCAAGTATAAAGGTCTTTGTATTATTTTGACATTAATCCGATAGGAACGTTTTTATGGCAGCTATATTGTACAAGATTTTTTTTTCATTTTATTTGAAATTATGAAATATTAAAAGAACTTTTCCAAAAATTAGAAGTTAATATGTCAAAAACACCAAAGCTATCATTTTTTTAACATTTTTAAAACTAAAATTCAAACTGTAAACTTAACAGAACTTATAGCGTGGTATTTGAAAATATGACTCGTTACATGGTGTTTTTACAAAATCTTTGGGGAAAGTCCTCAACATCCCTGCCCCATTGAAAGTAGTGCATGTCTTTCAAGTATGGGTCGTCGGCACTTTGTTGTCTCTTCCTGGTATGGCTGCGATGATCCGACCTAGATCCCATCGTTGCGGACGCATGTTGTCTTCATGTATTAAAACCATTTCAACCACGGAAATGTTTGGCGACGCCTAAGTGCAGTTGCTTCTCAGCTTTAATTAGTGAATGTATTCCAGTGACGCCAGATTTGATCCCTAATGGCACAGACTCGTCGCCGACGCTCCAGACTCTCCATCTTAGTGTCTGTTTCTGGCGTTTCAGGCAACCCGAAAGCGGCTCGGGGTGAGGGCCGACAGGTCGTTTGGACCCGTAGAAAGTGACGACAGCGGGCGGGAGCTCAGAATCGCGTCGAGTGCACTGCTGAGTTCTTCAAACGAAAGTCGGGCATTCCATAGAATTCGATTAAGAAGACCTTCAACGCTTTTGGCGGCTGATTACCAAATCCCTCCGAAATGGCGAGCCCTAGGGGGAATAAAATGGAAATGTCTAAATTCGCTATTACAGAAATGGTTTGTCCTTCCAATGGTTTCCTTTTTGAATAGGAACTCCTTCAGCGCTTGTAACTTTTTGTTTGCTCCAGTAAAGTTTCGCGTTGTCGCAAAATACATCCGAAGAACGTACTCGCCGAGGGGGCACCATGGAATGAGTCAGTTGATAGGCTAGACACCATCTCAATATGTAAAGCCTTGGTAATAATGCAAACGAATACCACTACATAAGCCTTAAAAGGTGGATTGCCGCGTGTGCACATGTAAACATTTACTGGCCCACAAGATTAGTCTCGAAGGGATAAGCCGATCCTTAGGAAGTTGACCCATGATTTGGTTGAATAAAACCGGGTGATGTCTTACGCAGTGTACGCACGAACGAACGACTCGTCGACTAACATGCTATGGCCGACATGCGTTTTTGGACCTGCATAGTTCTTTATATGGATTTATCGCATGAATTGGTATACAAAGTGGTCGTTCCTTGACAACAAGATTTGATGTTCTTGGCTGTCGGGAACACAAGCGCATTCTAAACGCCCTCTTACCTTAATCAGCTCAATATTATCGCATTTCTGTACAAAGAGGCCAAGATTTTTTAAATTCCTTTGAATATGCTTTCTTTTTTGCAGCCGACTAAATACCTCGGTGAAATAATTCGTTTGTATGCTCCAAGCAACATAATGCAGCACGCGTCGCAGTTCATCTGCGGACGGTGATGAAGTATTGATATTTTAAGCCTTCTGAAGGAATCGGCAAATCGAAGTATCCACGCGACTACTGATAGGCAGCGGCTTTGAGAGCTGATCTTGTATACGCCTTCCAGAATGGTTGATATTGCCAGTGCTGTTCTCCGAGATTCCATTTTTACAACCTCAGCATCAGGCTCCTTACGCTTGACTGCTGGCCACTGAGTTTGATCTAGCATCAGAAATTCTGGTCCGTCGAACCATCTGTACAGCCTCTCAAAATATCATCCGCAAGATTGAGGTACGTAGGATATGCTCAGTCAGTGGTTTTTTTACTTAAATCGACTACATGGATATGCATGTTGACGGACAGTAACGACAAACACATAGGCCCAACGCCAGCAAGTGTATTTTCTCTGGGGGAAATTGGCACCTTTAAAATGCCCACAACTCTGTGGCATTATCAATATATATTTTTGCCGACGATTAAATCCAAGCAGGCAATGACCTTATAGCCCTATAATGCGGAACCCAAATCCATGAAGACGCGACCGACAAGACAGAGCGTTTTGATACTTTATCTGAGTTTTTCTGCGAAAGCACTTAGAAAAGGAATATTCCACTTCAAGCTTAAGGTGCTGGTTACTAAATCGTGCCCCAAATTACGATTTTTACTGCGCAACCAGCGATAAAGTCCTTGTAATTGGAGTGCCATTTGTGGTTCTTCATTCAGGGGTTCTAGCGGTGACCTTCTCCAGAGAATTTGTTGAAACCTTCGATTCCTCTTATCCACGAGGACTTGCCGAAATATTTTAACTACATCGGCAGTATTGGCCTTCCGATTTATGCGAAACTGAAACCGAAACTTAAAAATCAGTAGTAATAAATCATTTAGACATTTTGCAAGCTTGTGTGACAAGAAGCGTCAAACACTACTCGAAGCTTTGTCGACGTGATTTTTGGAAGAGTACACTTCGTCGAGTCCGGTGTTCGATCTTATCGCCGCTGTAGAAAGCGAAATCGGTTGCTAGCTATATCGATTGATTCTCCTAACAGACTACACTCATCTTTAAATGGAAGATCAACAACCATACGACTGTCCACGTTGCGACGAACTGTGATTAAGAACATGTATTTCCTCTGTACGGATGTGTAATCTCATCAGTAAAAAACTTTATATGCGAACCGGAATCTAACAAAGCACGTCCCAATTGAATCGATGCTCAAATGAGAGATTAATAAATGTGTGCTGTACAGCTCAGCTAAACGATAAGTTAGAAAGTTGAGTTTCGGATGATGGCTGACTAGATTCTAGGTACTGACAATGGCACTCAATACGCTTGACGAAATTATCCAAAGTTGGTAACGTGATGTAGTTTAACGATTTATTCCACTTTCGATTGGTTTCCTGATCTACCTTGCTAGTGATGATCGAAATAAGTATTAAAAGCAAACAAGAATTGTAAGGATCAGAAGCATTGTCCGTAAAACTACGTTTTCATTGAGTTTGGATAAAAATTTGGAAATTTGAAAAGCCTTGCCGGTTTCAAAGGATAGACGACGAAGGCAATTCAATAATTGTTTGAATATTTTGGTGTGGGCCAACTGAGCTAACAACCTCCTTGAACGATGTTATGAAATTTTGATATTTTGATATGAGTCAAGTTAAAGCTAATGAAATGTAGACTATCTGTTTAGTTAGGTTGGAAATAAAGATCCTTAAATTCAGTAATGCTGACTAAAGAATTTCCCAAATGTAATGTAAAGTAAAGTTGTAGGTGTGTACACAGACTTGCATATTTGTAAAGATGTAATGTAAAATTAGGATCCAGCTCGACAAGGGCGTAAAAACAAATATAAGGTTAGGTTGAGCGCGGGTTACGGTACCTTTGCGACGAGTTCCTTGCAACGTTTGGGTGATGCTAAAGGCGTGTGGAAAATGATGCTCGTAGCCCTAGCTGATTCCCCGGGCTGCGGCCGGTAGCGACGATGACGATGGAGTAACTGACTTCTACGGCGACAAGATAAAATTCTAAGGCCAAGTACTCAGATCGGCAAAGAGTTTCACTAGTCGACAAAATCTTATTTTATATAGTGTGACCGAAGTTTTCAAAGTTCGTTTGCAATGCAAGTAGCATGGTCTTACTGTCAAGCTGGGGAAACAAATCAACTCGAACAATTTAAAATAGAAGTCTGCTGGTGGAA